GTTTAAATGTCAAGCTGCACAACAGATTCTGATTGTGCAAACAGACTGACCTCATGCTAAAATTACATCCTACATGTGAGAAATTTGGTTGTTTAAGACAGCTTGATCTATGTATTAGTAAAAACCTAAAATTATGTCATGACAAGTATAATCTATGAAAGGAAAGGTCTGAGTGTTTGAGAGCCAGACACTGAGAATTGAGGGTTAATTACTAGTCGTAAGTAAACAGTAAAACTAGATTTTCAATACATGAAAGGTTTTAAAAGCAGAAGTGAAGACCCCCTCATTCTAGTCCCCCCCCAGCACAGAAGGCAGATAACGATGGTTCACACGTTCATCAACGTCACCTGATGGAAACTAGCATCCAATAGTGATGCGCGTCTATGAACATTGCTGGTCAAATATATAACAATACATCCCTGAAAACACAATGTGGTCTGATGAAATCAGTTCATACATCCAAGTTGAAAGTCATCAAGTGAGGAGTAAAGTTGGGGTTGTGGCTCAGTGGTAGAACATCTGCTTGGCATGCAGAAGGTCCCAGTGTCAGCTATGCTGCCATGAGGGTGCTGTATGTTGCTAATTGCTGTGCATTCCTTCCCATGCACTTAATTGCTTCTTTGCTGTAATGCATATATCTCAAGGCCACTGGAGGAGTTGATGTGTCTAGGTTTCATGGGAAGCTTCTTACGTTCCCCGCTTCTGCAGCCGTTAGAATTCTGGCAAATGCCCGCACGCGGGAGCCCTTCTAATTGGGCACTACGTGGGGGGTGTGCATATGAATGCCCCATATCCTATTATGTGCATAGGTAACCCGCCATTCCTCACAGTGTTCATGTTACTGCATCTATAGCTTTTCAATAAAAGTAAAAGCTTCCTGGAAGCGTGTACTTCGTTGTTTTGCTGTGGATCCTGACACCCAGGTTCAATCCCTAGTATCTCCAGTTAACAGGATCAGGCAGTGAGTGATATGAAAATACTCTGCCTGAGACCCTGGACAGTTGCTGCTAGTCTGAATAGACAATATGGACCTTGATGGCAGCTTCATGTATGTAAGAGTAACAAAGCTATAAGAAATTATGGGTAATATATACATGTGTGAACTGCCCAACAAGGCTTATAAATCACCATTTAACAGATCTGTTTTGTGAACTGTCTACACAAATATGCTTTCTTTCTTTCATTCATTCATCCATTAAGAAAAGAGGAAGAAGAAGAGTTGGTTTTATACCCCGCTCTTCACTACCCAAAGGAGTCTTGGAGTGGCTTACAAATTGCCTTCCCTTCATCTCCCCACAATAGACACCCTGTGGGATAGGTGGGGCTGAGACAGTTCTAAGAGAATTGTGACTGATACGAGGTCACCCAGCTGGCCTCATGTAGAGGAGTGGGGAAGGAGGAGTGGGGAAGTTTTCCAGGACCTCCTGATGGCACCTGGTATTTTTGGCCGCTGTGTGACAGAATGTTGGACTGGATGGGCCATTGGACTGATCCAACATTGGCTTCTCTTATGTTCTTACGTTAGAGTCCACTGCTCTTAACCACTACACCAAACTGCTATGGTTATCTGTGTGTACAGATCTCCTCTGTACTTAATGGGAGTCAGACATAATTTTTTTTCTTCTGTCAGAATCTGCCGATCAGCCCTGGAGTTCAACATCCTTAGCTTATGTAACAGCCCACAAAATGTATGCACTTTCTAAGTGACGACATGTGATCATCCAAGCAAAAATTCTCACCCATTTCTGCCTCATCCATCCATACAAGGCACAGCCATTCTCCATCACGCTAACAAATATAGTACACATCAAAGTGCTTCAGTGAACCTCTTCAGTGAGTTCACCGTATAGATGTTTATTACTTAATGGGTCAGGAGAGTGGTTGGCCAGCTGTGCAACTGCAGTAGGCTCATGCCTTGTCTCCCTGCTCCTATGCAGTATTGTTCATGCTAGATGATGATGAGATAGAAAAATCAACCGAACTTTGCCACCCTATGAACAGATGGAGTTGGATCTTGCCACGTTTTTCACTGATGCAAGAGGAAACATGGGCTCCTTTAGATTCCCCCCCCCCCCGACTATGCTGGGAACCATGGGACAGGGTTGCCATGAGGAGAGGAGTCAGGCGGCATCGTCTCCCTTTCCTCTTGCACCAGCAAAAAAGCTGGTAGGATCCAACCCACCAAGTACGTCTCTTGTGTTATGTATTTATGCTGACATATGTATGCTGATTCATGCAGCAATCCATATTCAGTATTACTGCTGGCAAGATTTTAGGGCATGATTTTGAACATGAGTGCATAACGCATCTCGATGTGCGTGGAAAACATACACAAGGACTGTCTCAGTGAGGTGATGTATGGATTTGATTGCACAAGTTAAGTGGACAGGAAAAGAATTGAGGACTGGCACAGACACTCTTGGGTTTCACAAGTTTTTTTTGCGAAAGCTGCACCTGTAGAATTTCTATATGGACATTCACTATGCTTGTTGCTGTGACGATGTTTATATATTATGTGACAAAGTACACATGAACGCACATGAAGATGCCTCATATTGAATCAGACCATTAATCCATCAAAGTCCGTACTGGCAACAGCTCTCCTGAGTTGCAGTTAGAGGTCTTTCACATCACTTACTACCTGATCCCTAACTGGAGAAGTGAGAGATTGAACCTGGGACATTCTGCATGCCAAGCAGATGCTCTACCACTAAGTCACGGCCCCTCCCCAAATGGTGGTGCGGGGACTGTACCTCTTACAGTTTGGTGTAGTGGTTAAGTGTGCGGACTCTGATCTGTGAGAACCGGGTTTGATTCCCCACTCCTCCACTTGCACCTGCTGGATGACCTTGGGCAAACCATAGTTCTGTCAAAGCTGTTCTCTCAAGGGCAGTCCTTGAAAGAGCTCTCTCAGCCCCACCCACCTCACAGGGTGTCTGTTGTGGGGAGGGGAAGGGAAAGGAGTCTGTAAGCCACTCTGAGACTCCAAGTGAAGGGCGGGGTATAAATCCAATCTCTTCTTCTTCTTACAAATGTGTCAGACAGAATTTAACTGCATGGCCTAGAGGGAAGGCCACTTTCGGGCACATCTCCATGGGCCATTTCTCCCCGGCCCATTCCAGCTCCAATTTCATATCCTGCTTCTATAGTGACATCGCAGCACCAGGGGCAGGAGGAGTGGGGGGGGGGCAGAGGAAGGAGAGGCCTGCCACTATTATCACCTGCTTTCTCAAACTTCCATAGCATTTGGATTTTAAAAAATAACCATTGTACATCTGGATAGCACCATCCACAGTCTGTGGCCATTTGCATAATGACTCTGCTATGGCATTATGTCAAAAACCACACAAACAAAAGCCGTTTAAAATAACTTCATGCCCCAAACAAACTTTTCCATTAGGCAGCGTCTCCCCTTCCGGATCTCATTCCCCAGATCAGTGGGTCTGCTTTGACAGCTGGGGCTTCCTCTTGTGCATCTGGCTGAGCAGGCAGTGGCTATTTTTTTTTTTTTTTGGTGATGACTTTTTAGAAAGCTTAGGTCACCTACCATGCTTATGTAAATAACTAATCCTTGCTTCAATGAAAGTTCTAAATGGGGAACTCTCCTATCTCATAAATCCTTTCCCCAGACCAGTTAGGACACAACCCCTGGAATGATATTGAATTTGTACAGGAACACACACACGGACATATTTGGGGCGTGGGGAAAAACTTGTCACAAACTTATGAAGCTTCAAAATGAACGTAATTTTAAAAACTTCTATATTTGAGTCATTTTATAATTGATTTCTAGAAATCTCGACAATCCAGGTTTGATTCCTCCATGCCAGATTTCAGGCTGACAGAACCAGTTGTCTAGATTTTGTAATGAACAGAGTGTTCACACTTCAGAAGGGCAGAACTCTGGTCAACTGGTGTGCCTTAATTAAAAGAACCACTCCTGTGGCTGCATAATGAGGGTGATCGCTGCTGCAAAAGTCCTCAAAATGCTCAAGGAACTTTAGCTATATGTTTGTGTGTGGGGGGGGGGAGACACATCAAATGCAGCCTCTTCACTGTGACAAAGCACAGAAGAGTAAGTTTTCCACTGCTGTATTTGAATTCAAGATTTTCCTGCAATGCCATTATGAGTTTGCTACATGCAATTAAAAGAAGTTTGCAGACTGGTTAGACATTAAAATAGTTGAAACCATTAACATTAAAGTAATTAACATATGCCCTAACCTTTCTCCTTTTTCTATCTAGACATGTCAGAACATCTGATCTCAGCTTTGGTGTTTGTACATGTGTGGTGAATCCAAGCCTTTTATATAGGTTAAGTGGTTTCCATCACCCCCCCTTTTTTTTAGAGATTCCTTGATTATTTAGCCTCACCTATGATCTGAGAAGAACAGCTGCAGTCATTCTGACTTATTTCCCCTGTTGCTATTACAGATTATATTAATAGCATAATTTATGGGATGGGAAAGAACCTGCTTGTTTCTCAGGTGCATTTCCTGGAAGCAAGTCTATCTGAAATCTTGTTCATGAACAGACTCATTAGCTAGATATGAGGAACAATTAATCAAAAGATGCGTTATCATTCCAGGTTTCACTTTTACCGAAATTGATGAATACCTTTCTATTCCATCTGCCATTTGGAGTCCATCACTGAAAAAGTTCACTGTGTATTTTGTGAAGCTTGTTCCATTTATTGCTAATAATTAATAGTTTTATGGTGTTTTAGGGGTTATTTTTTAACCGCTTTTACTTGTTTTATGAAATGTTTACTGTTTAACATCATTCACTGTCCTGAGAGTTTGTGTGTAGCTCCACATGCCCAGGATAAATTCTCATAAATAAATATTCTCTTGTTGACTAACCTTGATTTTGTACAAAGAATTCTGAAGCATAGCAGAACAGAAGCTGTTAAGAAACTGCTGCCGGATGCGTTTGCCTGACTACTGACTAGAGCGAAAGAAAACAAATAAACATAGTGATGACTGGAAATTCATTATTACCTTTTTCTGCCAGTTCTTTTCCTTCATCACCTTCTGTCTTAATGTTTCCTGTAGCTGCTTCATTCTGTTCTGATGGGACTCCCTAAACATAACAAATATCCATGAGCAACAGATAACCAACGTATATTTTATTCAAGCAGGAAGGAACTGCTGCTGAGAACTGAGCTACGTCTGTGGTTCTTGAACTTTGGAAACCTACGGAGATACGTTTTGATTTAGGTTGTTTCATGGATACCATGACCCCTCTACTTCTCCCCCACCAGTGTCACCTGTTCCTTCACCCTCCTTTCTTCACCTACCTGCCACTTGTGCAGGTGTTAGGCAAAGTGTGTCCTCCTCAGCCACCTCCCAGCCCTTTTCAAAGCAAACATGGCAAGTCACACATGCCCCCATGTTGGTTACCTCCGCCACTGTCCTGGACATTTCAGGCCAGTTACTACCCCTGTCTAATGTGGCAGGTGGCATCTTAAATGCAAGCAGATCCCTCCTCTCCATTCATTCTAGCAAGACAGAGGGGGAAAACTTGCAGACTCTGTGGAGTATCCTCATGGACACTCAATTGTCTGTAGACCCTAGTTTGAGAATTACTGTCCTAGATGATGAGATTTCTCCTTTAACTTGCAATTCACCCACAGTGCATGCTGTTCTCTTTTTCATTGCTCTTGTTTGCTGTGATTGCAATGCACGGAGTAACCCTGTTAGGGACGGCATGCGCCACATTATATTAGTATTACAAATGTAGTATTACAAACGTGCAGTTTTCTATATGGATAACTCATTTATTTGTGACGATTTGCAGTTCATGACTCAATAAAAATGTGTGCAACAAATAAAAATAGAAATAATGATTAGCGTTGGATACAGGACAACAATGAATTTTCTTGCATTTTAAAATTAGGACCTCTAACAAGTTTGTGATATTTTGTCTGAAGGACGGCATGGCAGCTGTCATTCAGAACCAGGGACAATCACAGCACAGGAGGGAGGAGTGCCATTTGCCCTGGGCCTCAAGCTCAAAGGACACCTCAAATTTAGACACTTGATAAACTTTGGGCATTGGTAAGTTTTGCAACTTGACACCCTTTTTTGATGCCTCATTAATAATGTTTCAGGCTGTTGTAGGAGTTACTGACATAATGCAAAGTGTCTTGGAGCCCCGTGCAAATGCTAAGTGTTATTAAGGTATTAATGCCATGTTATTAATGCCATGCTCAGTCCTGTCTGAGCATGATCATGTGACTGTTAAACTACAGCATCGGCTCAGAGAGCACGTTGTACCCTGGATCATGGACGCTGGAGGATGGACTGATGCTTTTCGTCTTGCCCTGCAGACCACAGGATCCCTGGGTGGCCATTCTGGTATAGCGTATTTTAAGCAAGCGCAGGGGATTCCAACCGCTAGCATATGCCAATCAGGCAGAGAGGAAGGGACACTGCGTGAAGAAGGTCAGTGGTGTGGCTGTGCCTACAAAGCACAACCCATAGGGCAGAACTTTATCCACGACCAGTGTTCCCTCTAAGCTGAGTTAGTGTGAGCTAGCTCACAGTTTTTTAGCCTCCGGCTCACATATTTTTGTCTTAGCTCAGACAGTATGGCTCCAGAGCAGACTAATTTATGCAGCAACCAAATCGCTCGCTCACAACTTTAATGCCAGTAGCTCACAAAGAAGAATTCTTGCTCACAATTCACAGCTTAGAGGGAACATTGTCCACGACACCAAGCTACCACACCCAGATTTGGTCTTGTGACTGAGCCCTGATTTCATTATCTTTATCGTTCCTACTTCACTGTGTTCACAAGGCACGCAGGCCAGGAGCCAACATGCCCAACCCCAATTAGTTCAAAATAAGTAGTAATTTGGATACAATTTATCTCTCACACTAATACCTCTCAGAGGCCATCTGTCATGCCAGGAAGGAGGAAATGTTTATTGTTTAGACTTGGGAGCATTCTGTGACCTGCAGAGCTTTCTGGGTGTGTTACTCTGAGGAGGTTTCCCCTGATGTAAAGGAAACAGGTGGGATTAGGGAATACTTGGTCTAATGAAAATGCCATTAAGAATATCAGAAGAGCCCAGCTGGGTCAGACCAGTGGTCCATCTTGTCCAGCAACCTGTCTCAAGTAGTGGCCTCTGGACAGCCAATAACAGGGCATAGATGCTTGCTGAGGCCTTCCCCTGATGTTGCCTCTTGGCACTAGGATTCAGATGTTTATTGCCTCTGAATGTGGAGGTTCCCTTTAGTCACCATAGCTGATAGACCTGTCCTCCATGAATCTGTCTAATCCCTTTTCAAAGCTCTCTATGCCTGCGGCTTGAAACAATGCCGGGAAAATGCAGCTGTGATTCAAAGGCAGGCTCCACATTGCATAGAGATATTCTTCAGAGTAGGAGCTGGCAAAATGTCATATATAACTTTAACTTGTATGCCTTAATTTCTAAGGGCTCAAATTCAGAAAATTTTTCCCTCAAAAGCCTTGACATTTTTAGTCACTTAATAGAGGGAATGGATCTGAATGCGTCCAGTTTCCCCCCCATACCAAGTAGCATGAATCAAGCAGAAAGCAGTCCAGAAGACCAACTGCAGCTGCCACTTGGGCAAATCAAGTCTGCCCAGTGAATGATGGCTGAGAACTCCACTGTAGGTCAAACCCTCTTTTCACACCATCAAATGACTGAAAGTTAACTCTCAGTAGAAAAAGAACACACGGACTAAATCCACCCTATTTTACCTATATTGTGAATCACTCTGAAAGTCGTAAAAGAGCAGAACAGTGGCGTGTATATGTGTGTGTGTGTGTGTGTGTGTGTGTGTGTGTGTATAATAAAAAAGTAAAGGTCTCCTGTACTGTACTACATAAGTTAGCAGCATCACCTGACTGGGACACAGTCTGAAAACCTTAATCACCGATAAGGATCCTCAAATTAAAGTACCCTTTGGGGTCTATGCAAAACCTACTATGAATGGATACCAGAACGGCCGTTGTTTTAATAAGGCTTATGTGTTACTATAACAATTTTTAACACTGCCATGTTATATATTTCAGCTGAATTAAATGCTGATGCTATGATCTGGTCCCAATGTTAACAGTTTTCCCCAGAAGAATACACACTGCATTGGAATGCATAATCTACGTGGAGGCTTCCACATAAGTATTCTCCTGGGAAGGAAAAAAGGTTCTGTTGAAATCAGTCTTGCAGATGAATACCTGAAGAATGTTAATTGTTTTCTGCATGTAGCACACCACATCATTCAGGAAAACTCCTAATGGCCTCAGCATGAAAAAAATTAAGGCTCAGTCATCTCTGTGCAGAGGCTGCTTGTGGATGTGGGAGCTTTGATACACACATGGGAGCTTCCATACCTGCCAGCGCAATGTTAGGGACAACCCTTCAGGCAAATCCATACTATACCCCCCCCCCAAAAGGGGGGGGGGGGGGGGGGATGACTTTAAAACAGATAGCTGGAAAAAACAAACACATCCTAACATTGTAACTCCTGAGAGCTTACCCAAATAATTATATTGCTCATTATTCACTTGCACCATCAGAGGTTCATATGACCAAAATGGAAGCACCTGCAGCCCTGGTCTGTAAATAGATTCAGGTGGTATGAAGCAGCAGAACAAAGTTTGAGTCCAGTGGCACCTTTAAGACCAACAAAGTTTAATTCTGGGTATAAGCTTTCGTGTGCATGCACACACTTCATCAGATAATGACTTTGTTGGTCTTAAAGGTGCCACTGGACTCAAACTTTGTTCTTTGTCTGTAAACGTTATTTTAAATGTTAGTTCACCACTTACCAGGAAGTAACAGCAAGCTCCTCTCACAGGATAGCATGTTTAGAACAGGTAGGGGGGAAATGGTATAAACTGTAGGTTTTTTGGAACAAAATAGAAGAGTAATACAATTTTCACAACAGAATAGTGTATAGGACAGGACAGAACTGATGCAATGTTACTGGCTCACTGCTCAAGTTGTAAAGTAGAAGCCCCTAGTTCAAATCTCATGTTAGTCATGAACTCGCTTTAGGTAAGATACTATCTCATGTTCTGGGCATGCCCGTTAGCAATAGGGAACAGCAGTATTGACCCGCCTGATAGGGCTGTCACGGGCAGGCAATGAGGTGGAGAAAAACAATGCCCAAGGAGATGGGTCTGCTCGTCCTTGCTGGTGGCAGTGATACAGGACTCACTGGGATGCCACAGCAACAAGTGGCCCGCAGTACTTACTGCAGCTGCCACTGCCGGTTCTGCTGGCCACTCTCTGAACAATGTGCTTAACACAATGCTCCCTGCCTCTGCTGTCTTCCAGCAGCATTGGCTGGGAAGGATGCCTCTCCCTAGATTTCGATTCAGGAGTGATGGCACTTCCGTCTGCCCCACCTCACTGGCACTGCTGCAGGTCACTGTAGAGGTAACCTGCATAAAGCACTTCGGACATTTAAAGGCTTACTGCTACTGATTCCAACCATCGAGGTTTCGGCCAGCTACAGTTAAATTCGCTTGGAAGTTAACAAACTCTCTCTAAATCAGGCCGCTCTCGTTACTACTATATTGTTAAATATTGTTTCTCTCTTCTTATGTTAAAATATCACTCCTTTCACTGTTCAGTCATACACTGTGCTTCATAATGATTTCTTCCAGGTGTGAAGAACCACAAAAAAGTCAACTTGCAGGGGACTTTCGGTTCGATGACATTCTCAGAAAGAAAATCCTGGGCAGAACATCCTGTCCTATAATGCTACACATGACAAGTCATTTCTGATTACCTTTCTTGCTTAAGCATTACCACTTCTTCCTCTCGCTGCCTGAGATGATTCTTAATTGTTTCCAGTTCACTCTCCAAGCGGCTGGTTCTTTTTCTCAGGCCTTCTTCTTCCCTTTCTTTCTCAATCACTTCTTCCTGTAAACGTTTGCATACTTTTTGGCAGGCAAGCAAGGACTGCTCTTGCTCTTTCAGAGTATTAGTAAATCTAAAAGGGGGGGGGGGGAAAGACAGAAACAAAACCAAATGTCATAAGTGAAGCATCCAGAAACATACATAAAATATATTTTCATACGGGCCTTCCAGTAAATAGGAACATTATGCAAAGTGTGCGTCTGCATTTATAAATAACATAGTTTCATCAGTGTGAACTGAAGTACGATACAGATGAAGTATATGAAAGGGTAATAGGAACTCATGGATCACTGCCTTGTCGTGGCGAGGGGGCTTGCGCAGTTCAATGAAGCTGTGGGCTATGCCGTGAAGGGCCACCCAAGACGGACAGGCCACAGCAGAGAACTCAGACCAAGCGTGATCCACCTGGAGAAGGAAATGGCAACCCACTCCAGTATGTTTGCCAAGAAAACCCCATGGACAGTATCAAAAGGCTAAAAGATATGACGCCGGAAGATGAGCCCCTCAGGTCGGAAGGTGTCCAATATGCTACTGAGGAAGAGCAGAGGACAAGTACAAGTAACCCCAGAAAGAGTGAAGCGGCTGGGCCAAAGCCGAAAGGACGCTCAGTTGTGGATGTGTCTGATGGTGAAAGGAAAGTCCGATGCTGCAAAGAACAATACTGCATAGGAACCTGGAATGTAAGATCTATGAATCAAGGTAAGCTTGACGTGGTCAAAAATGAGATGGCAAGACTGAACATCGATATCCTAGGAATCAGTGAACTAAAGTGGACAGGAATGGGCGAATTTAACTCAGAAGACCATTATATCTACTACTGTGGCCAGGAATCTCGTAGAAAAAATGGTGTGGCCTTTATAGTCAACAAGAGAGTGCAAAAGGCAGTACTGGGATACAATCTCAAAAATGACAGAATGATTTCTGTCCGATTCCAAGGCAAACCATTCAACATCACAGTAATCCAAGTCTATGCCCCAACCACTGATGCAGAAGAGGCTGAAGTGGACCGGTTCTATGAAGACCTACAACACCTCCTAGAACTAACACCAAAAAATGATGTCCTCATCATCATAGGGGACTGGAATGCTAAAGTAGGAAGTCAAAAGGTAACTGGAATAACAGACAAGTTTGGCCTTGGAAAGCAAAATGAAGCAGGGCAAAGGTTAACAGAGTTTTGTCAAGAGAACACACTGGTCATAGCGAACACCCTTTTCCAACAACCTAAGAGGCGACTCTACACATGGACATCACCAGATGGGCAACACCGAAATCAGATTGACTATATAATTTGCAGTCAAAGATGGAGAAGCTCTATCCAGTCAGTAAAAACAAGACCTGGAGCTGACTGTGGTTCAGATCATGAGCTACTCATTGCAAAATTCAGACTTAAACTGAAGAAAATTGGGAAAACCACGAGGCCATTCAGGTTTGACCTAGATCGCATCCCTGATGAATATACAGTAGAGGTGAAGAATAGATTCAAGGGTCTGGATTTGATAGATAGAGTGCCTGAAGAACTATGGACAGAGGTTCGTGACATCGTACAGGAGGCAGCAATCACCACCATACCAAAGAAAAAGAAATGCAAGAAAGCAAAATGGCTTTCTGATGAGGCTTTACAAATAGCAGAGGAAAGAAGGAAAGCGAAAGGCAAAGGCGAAAAGGAAAGATTTACCCAACTGAACGCAGATTTCCAGAGAACAGCAAGGAGAGATAAGGAGGCCTTCCTGAATGAACAGTGCAAAGTAATAGAAGAAAACAATAGAATGGGAAGGACTAGAGATCTCTTCAAGAAAATTGGAGAAATCAAGGGAGCGTTCCATGCAAAGCTGGCCATGATAAAGGACAAAAACGGTAGGGACCTAACAGAAGCAGAAGAGATTAGGAAAAGATGGCAAGAATACACAGAAGAACTATACAAGAAAGACCTCAATGTCCTTGACAAACACGACGGTATAATCACTGACCTTGAGCCAGACATCCTGGAATGTGAAGTTAAATGGGCCTTAGAAAGCATTACTAACAACAAAGCTAGTGGAGGTGATGGTATTCCAGCTGAGCTATTCAAAGTCTTAGAAGATGATGCTGTTAAAGTTCTGCACTCCATTTGCCAGCAAATTTGGAAAACGCAACAGTGGCCACAGGATTGGAAAAGATCAGTATACATTCCAATCCCAAAGAAGGGCAATGCCAAGGAATGTTCAAACTATCGCACAATTGCACTCATATCACACGCTAGCAAGGTCATGCTCAAGATCCTACCACTGTCTAACCATCTCATCCTTTGCCGTCCCCGTCTTCTTTGACCTTCAATCTTTCCCAGCATCAGGGTTTTCTCCAGTGAGTGCAAACATGTCTTTCAAATGCCGGGAAAGATGCCTGGCTTTAAAGTTTGATGCGAACGTATCAAGCAAGCTAGTACTGTGAAAGGGTCATTATGGCTCCTGATTCTGCCACTTTCTCCAGATACTTGGTGACATATCTCTGCAGGTCTGCTATTGGTTCACTGACTTCAGCCTTTGAGAAGTTCCTGGTGGTGATGCACTGTGCTAAAACTGATGCTGCTTTTGGAAGAGCAGTTCTTCAGAGCCTGTTTCTTCAAGACGACCTGCAGATAACATCAGGTACATGGCTCCCTAGTCATCAAATCACCGCAGACTGTGACTGCAGCCATGAAATTAAAAGACGCCTGCTCCTTGGGAGGAAAGCGATGGCGAACCTAAACAGCATGATAAAAAGTAGAGACATCACCCTGCCAACAAAAGTCCGCATGGTCAAAGCAATGGTATTCCCAGTAGTCATGTATGGCTGCGAGAGCTGGACTATAAGGAAGGCCGAGCGCCGAAGAATAGATTCTTTTGAACTATGGTGCTGGAGGAGACTCTTGAGAGTCCCTTGGACTGCAAGAAGAACAAATCAGTCAATCCTCAAAGAAATCAACCCTGACTGTTCCCTGGAAGGCCAGATAATGAAACTGAAGCTCAAATACTTTGGCCACCAAATGAGAAGGGAGCACTCACTGGAGAAGACCCTGATGCTTGGAAAGATTGAAGGTCAAAGAAGACGGGGACGGCAAAGGATGAGATGGTTAGACAGTGTCATCGATGCAACGAACATGAAGTTGAGCCAACTTCAGAGGACGGCAGAAGACCGGGAGGCCTGGAGAGAGCTCGTCCATGGGGTCGCGAAGAGTCGGACTCGACTGTGCGACTGAACAACAACAATAGGAACATAATTAGGATATAGTCATTATTGTGATGTTTTATACCGTAAGTGAAAAAAAATCAAGGGTTAAATCCTGTGTACTTTGAACACAATTGCACCTGTGGAATGGAAATTTCCTGCTTCCCCCTTCCCTCTACAATCTGCTGCGCTTCTTCAAACTTTGTTCTGGGGTTGGTGGAACTTCAGATACAGGGTGAGGGGCCAGGAGGGGATATGCAGCGTGTGTGGAAGGGGGCAGGGAATCTTGAAGGGCATGGGATCCACCCCTTAAGTGTTTTACCAAAGTCAAAAAAGAAAAGACAGACCTTACCTGCAGGTTCACAGTCTATAAGAGACAGAAATTCAAAGAAAAGGAAGGTGACACAATAAGAGCAGGAGATGATATGGGAATTTCTTTTTAAAAAACAGAGAAATAGCGCAAGCACAAGAACTTCAGATAACAAGGGGAAATGATTAAGAGAGTAAGCAAAACAGCTTTTAAAAAAGGATACAGTTTTCAAAATTTTAACAGCGTTGTTGCATTTGTCTCCAATTATAACCAATTATAACTTGTACCGAGATTCTGATCTTCCAATATCAGATTCCAGTTTTCGGAGTTCATTTTGATAGTCCTGGCCTTCTTTTGATGCCTTTCTAGAAAATAAAATTTCACATTACTAAGTTTTCTGGTTATAAAATCACTGTAAACTTCTCATGTGGTGACAAAGCTTCCTGGAGAGGCAGCATAAAAAAAAAATTCTGAACAAATACACTTCCATTTGACAAAATTTTAACACACTCCAGAGGAGTTTCTGTTTTATCCTGCAGCAACAAAATATCAGTGAGTTTTAGCATGCTTTTTTTGTGCTATGAAGGCTTAAGAGGAATGTTTAAAACTTTACTTGTTATTTCTTGATATCTGCAACTAGAAGGCACACAAATTGTATACCCTTCTCAGTCTGGCCATTCCCCCACTCTGTTTACGGACTGGCTCCACAGCACAGTTGATTCAATTCCACATAATTTTCACAGTCATAAAGACCAGTACGAATCGCTGGCAGTCTTCTTTTACCCCCTCTCCCAGTGCAAAAAAGAGAATGGAAATGGATTGGGTACATTTCTCCACTGGAGGGAAAGGAAGGGGAGATTTTCTCTAACCACCAAAAAAGGCTACGCTGGGGATCATGGGACCTGCACGTACAAAAGAAGAAGAAGAGAAGAAGAGATTGGATTTATACCCCGCCCTTCACTTGGAGTCTCAGAGCGGCTTACAAACTCCTTTCCCTTCCCCTCCCCACAACAAACACCCTGTGAGGTGGGTGGGGCTGAGAGAACTCTGACACAAACGGCTGTTTTTCAAGGACAGCTGTGCCAGAGCCTGTGACTGACCCAAGGTCACATCAGCAGGTGCAAGTGGAGGAGTGGGGAATCAAACCCGGTTCTCCCAGATTAGAGTCCACACACTTAACCACTACACCAAACAAAGCCATATTGTATGAGGGCTCTAGTGTGAGGGGATGGGTGAGACGGAGCGAAAAGGCTGACTGGAACCAGCCTATAGCATACAAGCAATAAAGTGACCTGTCCACACCACTGGCAGTGGAAAATCGGTGTTGCTGCTATTTTGTCCTGAATATTTCCTTTGGTGAAAAGGTGAGCTAAACAGAAATACAAAGGAACTGAAAAGTGTTGTTAAATGGAAGGGGCTGGAAAAGGAACTGAGGAAACAAGATTCAGAAAGAAAAAGTAGATAGAAAATAGTTT